TGTTACGGCCGCACGCCACACCTGGTCCCCTGAATGGGGCGCACTATGGCAGCTGCTCTTCTTCTGTGGTGGAAAATACGCAGTAGTCAGACTAGCGTGGCTGTGCCAAACCCTCCTGTATCGTGCCTGTGTGCGTGTGTGTTTGTGTGTGTGTGTGTGTGTGTGTGTGAGATCTACCCCCAACACATAGACCACCTTCAAAGGCAATAGGGACCCCCACCCCACCCATCATACAACCACGCCATACCCCCATGGCTCCATTTTTTAAAATTTCTTCCACTGTGCAAGCGACCATAACATGGAAGCACTTGTTGACTGACATTTAGCGTCGCTAGCACTTAGCGCGAGGCGAAAAAAAACCTCCAGCGGTGCGTTCAAAGACAACGGCGGCGTTTCTCTTAAAAGCTAAGACACAAGTTGTCTTCACCTTTTCAGCCCTCCCCAACAAGAGTATTTTTTCACACCAATTGATTTGGTGCTGTGTTGTGAGAATGAGAGTGTGCGCGTGTCTCTATGCTTGAGAGAGAGGCTGTATGTGTGCATGCATGAGAGAGAGTGCGTGTCCTAATGCATCGCCACTGTACGGGTCCAGCAAGTGAGGGACCAATCAAACATTTTTTTTAAACCAACAAAAAAAGTGCGTAAAAATGATCATTGGAGTGAATAAGACTCTTAGCGCGATATCGAGCATCTCCCAATTGGTAGCAGGCACGTTACGACGTAACAACCATCAGCATATATAATGTAATCTTCCCATATGTGTGCGTTGATGTGTGTCATTTTTGGGCATTACTTGAAGTCGGATTAGTTTTAGGTTGTTTGTTTTTTTTTGTATCGCTAAAGGTGTTTGAGGATGAAAACATTCACTGCCATAACAACATGGACACGATCAGTCAGACGTCAATTAAATGATAGTTTTTTACTTTTTCACTGGTGTCTGCGTGTGTCTCTGTGCAGCTCCTCATGCTTTTGACACTTTTTAGGGCACGTTGTTTTCCAGGGAGAAAAAATGTGATCGTCATGAAAAAAAAAAAAGAAAAATTGGCAATCAATGTCAGTTTAATGAATACAACCCTCCATTTCTGATGTGATCATAGAAAAACAATCCACTAAAGTTACCCATAATTGATTGTAATTTATTCATCATCAAAAAACTAAAGTGCTTCAACATGCTTCAGTGTTGCCTCAAATTTTAGCTTTCCAGTGTTGGCATCCATTTTATCTTCTGTGTTAGATCCTTTTGTTAGCTTGCAAAGCTACCTCCAAAGTTTCCCCGCTTACAATTGATGAAGGCCGTATGTTGTGACATTCACTGCTGCCATTTAGTGTTGCCTTGGCCGAATCTGACGGGTAAATAACATTTTTACTCGCAACAATTTTTTTTTTGCAATCGCCCAAGCGACAGCTTGTATCCTGAAAAAACTCGAAAGTTGTGGCATGTGTAAATCAAGATACTACTGTCACGTTTGCATATATTAGCATTAGCTCGTGCCCTGCTTGCCGTCATGCGATTGGACGCAGTGCGGCAGTTCCATTTTCCACCTGCGGGGGGAGTGCTTGCGGCCGATTCTCTTATGAGCACATTTTAGCACAGCGTCTGTTGACTGTAAACGTGAATGGCTCGTTATCTGGCGGCGTGACTTGAGCAGTCAATCCCAGATGGAGGTTGTGGGTTCCCGAAGTTCAGAGTGTGAGTCTAGCCCAACAGGAAGGTCCCAAAGTAGGTGGCCCTGCCATCCGCCTCCACGGCGCTGGCGTTGCTGACGGTGACAAAGAGGCGGTCGTCGGGCTGCAGGAAGGCCGTGCCAGCCTGGTTGAGGGAGAACATTCCGGGCTCTCGGCCCCGCGGCCAGCAGGCGCTCCGCGAAGACTTCATGAGCAGGATGGGGACCGTGTACGAGCTCATCTACGAAAACAACGCTTTATCGCTTTATTTGCTAACTTTATTACCCCCGAAACAAAACCACGAAACAAGATTCATCATCAAATGACATGTTGACTTTCTAAACAATTTGCGGTGAAATAGATCATGGTTCTGACCTTTTTATAAATATACTGGACGAGCTGGGCTGCTTCCTGCTCCTGATCGTGCTCGGGGTCGTGATCGGAGTCGTCCTCCTGGTCCCTGCTCCAAGTGGAGGAGAGCCTGAAGTACGTCTGCGCGTAGATGTAGTAGAGGCCGGCCTGAGGCACCAGCAGCTCTCCTCCTCTCAGCTCCACGTTGCGCAAGAAGGACTCCCCTCGGCTTCCTTCCCAGGCCGTGACGCGCTCGCCCAGGTAACCTCTGCGCCTCGTCGCGCCGTCTGCGCAGCGAGGACGTTTGAAAACGAAAACTTTATGACTCGTTTCAAGAAAACAAGAAAATGTTTGTATATATCTGATATTATTGATTGTTTTTATATATAGTTATATATAGTATAAAATAGTTCCGCAAGGCACCTTGAAAAAAAGATCGCATATTAAATCACAACCGCACACTCGGAACACTTTCAACGGATGAGACCTTTGCCTACCTTGTGTTGGTGAGGAAGACGAAGAAGTGGCAGTCACGTGGCCCGCCACGTCGGGACGGACGTGGCCGTCAGGAAGGAAAGGGACGACGCTTGTCAACTTATCTGGCAACCCACACAGTCGCACTGTTTTACTGAGGTGGAAACGAAGAAGAATGTTTGAAAACGCCTGAGTCGTGCTTACTTGTCACGCCGGAAGTGATCTCCTTCTCTAATCTCGCAGCCATTGCCTGGAAGGAACACCACAATCGATCTAAGAACGAAAGGCTAAAAAAAAAAATCCTTAAAAAAAATCTACAAAGTGAAATGATCTCCAATCGGAAACAGCTGTGCCAGGTAGAAGGGCGCCATGGCCACCTGGGGGCAGTATCATACACCGTCGGATTTTCTCTCTCTCTCTCTCTCTCTCTCTCTCTCTCTCTCTCTCTCTCTCTCTCTCTCTCTCTCTTGTCTAATAACTGTGTAAACCCTATTTGTGACAACTAACTTCAAAGTGGCCCAAATTTCGGCCTCTCAACAGTAAAAATTCAACGATTCTTGTAATTTCTCCATGAAAACAGCCTCGCGGAATGAAAATGAAACATTTGCAAACATCTGCTTTTAATGTGGGGAAACAATGATCAACATTTTCCGACGTTTTAGAGATCAAACCAGTGACTGTTGATTTATGTTTGTGCATCTGTATTTGGATTGTCAATCTGTTTTGGAGTCAAGAAATGGAACTCAAAATCTATCTTTTTAAATCCGATTCACCAAATTAACGAACAAAATAATAAACAGATGAATCGGTTATTCGATAATTGTGACTTGCCACCCTGATTGGCAGAGAAAATCTCAAACATCCATTGCCAAAATGGAACAGGAATCCATTTTGGGGCTTAAAAGTGAGGGAAAAAAAAATCCCCTCTCACCACCAATTCCACCAATTGACATGAAACTGAGTGTACTGGTTGTTTATCATCAGGATGTACCCCCAAAAAATGTCTAAATGTCTAAATGACTTATCGCCACAATTTAACAGGAACTTGACTGTTTTAGTTTGAAGCAGCCATTTTGGTGCAAACTCCAGAACTCAAAAGTTAGAAACATATGACCCTCGTTCCGAGCTTCACCACTTGACACAAATTTGGTTATAAGCGGACACACAAAAAAGTCTCAAGTACCCATGCCCAAAATTGAACAAGGAATCGTTCCTTCGTGTTTCGTACCGCCCAGCCCCAATGAAGAATTCTTTTGAAACCTTCTCAATGTGGTTGCGGAGTTGTTGCACGACTTGCCAACAGGGGTCACTCTTCATCTGGTTGGACGGGAAATCGAGATTGGCGTCGGTCAAGCACGACGTGCTCCCTCCTGAGAAACTGTCCTGCATCTGTCGACATGAATGTAAACCTTCATCATCAAATCTCAGCGGTAGGTCAGCTCATCTCAAAAGGTGAAAACCACAAAGGGAACCTCTCTGTTTAATGTTTAATTGATCTATCTATCTATCTATCTATCTATCTATCTATCTATCTATCTATCTATCTATCTATCTATCTATCTATCTATCTATCTATCTATCTATCTATCTATCGGTTCATTTATTTATTTACTAACTTAAGCTTGTTCATTGAGAAAGACGCCATGTGGTCGTCTGCATAGTCAGTTAAGTAGGTCTTAGCCAAGGGTCATTTGAGCTGAATTGGTTTCGGGGTAAAAGTGAAAATTGTGCGCGGGGTTCCCGAGCGGCTTCTTCTTTCCCAACATTCCAGATTCCAGACAGCAATTAAACCTTCTGACGTTTTCGCACATGACCCAACCACTATTTGACTATTTCACAGACGTACAAGCAACCACAAGACAAAGAAACTTTTGTGATAGTTGATGGACTTGATTGTAACAGACACCTGAACCTTCCCGACATAAATTGATCTTATAGACCGATTGGAAAAATTACGTAAAAATTTTCCACAACAAATTCCCAACACATAGACTTTTACAACTACTGCAAGCTGCAGTCATAGTCGTCTTTTTTTGCAGAAGATAAAGAATATATGCCTCCGAGTATTGCTATAGTGTCTGTCTACATGTGTTGATGCACCGTTTAGTGCAGATGTCCCCAAACTACGGCCCGCGGGCCGGATCCGGCCCGCCTCCGC